GTTCAACGGCTGAATGGCCGACTCCAGCTCGACCAGCTCCTGGTTTTTGATCTGATACACCGACTGCAGATCGTTCAGATCCTTCAGCTTCGCGTTGGTGTCCACCGTCAACTTGGAGGCGCGCTGTAGCAGCTGCTTGGCCCGCTCCCTGGCGTTCTCCGAGCGGCTGGCGCGATCAGTGAGCGTCTGGTTGGTGGCACTGGTCGATGACTGCAGATTGTTGGCCTCGCCGCGAGCGCGCATGGCCTCCAGCTTGACGCGGCTGGCCTCCTTTGTGATCTCCTTCGCGTCGCGATCGTTCTTCACAATGTTGTTCTGCAGGCGTTGCACCTTCTTGGCCAGCTCCTCCACCTGCTGGGCCGTGTGATTGGCCGGCGACTCGGCTGCATTCGTTTCCTCGTCGATCTTCTCAAGATCCTTGGCCGCCAGCTCAATGTTGCTGTTCGCCTGCTGTATGGCATCTTGGGCCTTGCCCTGCGAATCATCTGCAGCCGCCAGATTCTCCACCACAGAGTTGGCCGCCTCCAGAATGCTGTTGGCCATCTCCTTGGTGGCATTGGCAGTGCTCTGCAGTCGATTCACACGCTCCAAATCCGGTCGGGTCTTGTAGATGATCGACTCGACATTCTTCAGCGAGGACACGGCATCGTTGATCTTCATGCCGAGCGATTCGATCTCCTTGGGATCCAGTTTAAGGTCAAGCAGCAGCGTGTCCTGTGCCAGTTTCTTGCTCTCCAACGGCGAGGCCGTTTTGTTCTCCTGGAAGTCGGTGACGGCATTGATCAGCTTGGTGGCCATCTTTATGTTGTCGTTGGTTTGATTCAGATACCGCTCTGATTGCTCGAATCCTGCCTTGGCCTTCTGGTATGCCTCCGAGGCATTGAGCTTGGCCTGCGTAAGCGCCCGGATAGTCTGGTCCGCCTGATCCTTCTTCATGGTGATGGCCAATTCGGCGTCCTTGGCCACCTTCAGTGCTTCGTCCGAGTGAGCGCGAGCGCCGTGCTCGCAGGACAAGAATCCGCCGCACTTGCCACATCCCGCACCGCCGCACAGATTGTCGCAGGGATTTCCCGGCTTGCCACACACCTGGTTGTTCAGTTCGGGAATCTGGGACGTCAGGGCACTCAATTCCGTGCGATAATCATCGATGGTCTTGTCGTTGTTGGCAATGGCATCGGACTCGTCCTTGATCTTGTTGGACAGCGTCTCGACGCGCTTGCAGTTGCGATCCGTATTGGAGGCCAACTCGTTGGCCTCGTCCTTCAGCGTCGAGAGATTGCTCACCCGTTCGTAGGCATGGCGCGTGAGATTCAGAGCTCCCTCGATGTTGGACTCTTGCAGCTGAATGCCGTTCTCCTTCAGCTCCTTTGAGAGCTGCTGCACCAGACGCGAGTGATTCTGCAGACCCTCCAGCTCCACGCCAGAAAGACTGAGCGAATTGTAGACGTCATCCAGGTTGCGCTCCGTCTCGGCCAGTCGGCCGTGGGAGGCCAACAGCTGCTGCTTCAAGCCATTCGTCTCTGCATCAAGTCGGTCGATGTCCTCCAGGCTGACGGAGGTGTTCTGCAGGAGGTCCCGGATGTGCTGCAACTTCTTATCGAGCTCACTGAACTCTGCCGTATAGGCGCCGGTGGCGCCCACCTGTTTGATCTCCTTGGCGCGCTGAATGGTGGCCTCCGTGGAGTCCTCGAGGGCAGTCAGAATAATATCCCAATTGTTGAAGCACTCGCCGCAAGGCGAGCAGTGAGGAAATTGGCCAATGAAGCCGCGTGCACACTGGTTGCACTTGTAGCCACCGATACCCTCGTGGCAGACGCAATAACCCGTCTCCCGGTCGCACTGGAAGTCCGCCGCTCCATACTGATCGCAGTCGCAGGCCTGGCACTTCTCGTTCGGGTTGCCCCAGTAGTGGGCCTCGCACTGGTTGCACGCCCTTCCGCCGAATCCCTGCTTGCACTTGCACTGACCCGTATAGGGGTTGCACTGCTCCTGAACGGCACCAATGGCATCACAGTTGCAGGCCTCACAGCCCTCGCCGGAGGCAATCTTCCAGTGGTTCACCGCACACTGATCGCAGCGCAGGCCCTGGACATTCGGCAGACACGGACACTGTCCCGAGTGGCGGTCACAGTGGGCCAGCGTGTTGTTCGTGCCCAAGAAATCGCAATCGCACTGCTGGCAATTCTGCTGCAGGGCATCGCCGAAGAAGCCATCGCGGCACAGCTCGCAGTGATCGCCCGTCGTCTGGTAGAGGCACTTCTGGCAGGAGCCCGTCTCCCGATCACAGTTGCCCGTGTCGTACGGATCAATGTTGTTGCTGCAGTCGCACTTGGAGCAAGTGCCGCCATTCTCCGGCGATCCAAAGTGATTGTCCGCACAGATTTCGCAGCGTGAACCGGCATAACCCTCCTGGCAGTGGCACAGCATGTTGTTGTTGCGCGTGTCCAGAGAGCAGCCGTCGGCATGGGCCAGGCCACTGGCCACCGTCTCGGGGCATCGGCACGGGCGACAACCGATCTCGCTGCCAAACAGCGGATTGCCATAGTATCCATCGAGGCAGCTGTCGCAGCTGTAGCCAGTGGTAAAGTCCTGACAATTGAGGCAGGTGCCCTTGAGGGGATCACACTGGGCGGCATGCCCGTTGCACTGGCAGACGCGGCACTCGGGGAAGTTCCAGTAGCCCGGCTGGCACTGGTTGCACTCCCTGCCATAGGTATTGGGCACGCACTGGCACTGACCGGTGATCAAGTCACAGTTGTTGTCCTTCGATCCAATGCTGTTGCAGTCGCAGGCCTTGCACCCCTCCGGCCCAAAGCCATAGGTTCCTGGGGCACACTGATCGCACTGCCGTCCCACAACATTCGGCTTGCAGTGACAGAATCCACCATTGGAGTCGCAAACCTTCGAGTACGAACCGGTGGGATTGCAGTTGCACATGCTGGCACCGTCATGGACATAGGTGCTCACATAGTTGTCCAGGTCTCGGCACTCGGGATCCGACTTGTAGTTGATGTCGTACAACGACTGATTGCAGTTGTGCTTGGCGTACTCCCGACGACGCAGATCCGCCATGGGAGAGCCCGTGAAGATCGGGGTGACTTCTATGCGAGGGATCAGCGTCAGCGAATCCACCAAAATGGTGGCCGTGGGGCTGTCCTCGTTATGGCGCCTGCGCTCAAAGTATATCTTGAATTTGTACACCTTGCCCGCCTCCAGGCACACATCATTCAGGGCCACCACCTGGCGATTGCGATCGGGCAGATTAAATGGAATCCTTGTCTCCGAAGCGGTTGCGGCCACCAGTTCGGCGCACTCGCCATCCGGGTCGATCTCATCGGGGCGCACCAGCGTGATGTAGGCGTCATCCCAATCGCCGCGGGAGGTGCTCTGGTAGCGGATCACCACATCGTAGGGCATCGAGCGGGGAATATTGTCCACGGTGAAGACCAACTCTGAGTTCTCGGGCACGCGCGTAAACCCAATGCCCGTGAAGCCAGTGGTGCCGCTGGTGGGCGCCTCCGCCACAGTGCTGCAGTTGCCATTATTTCCATACGAGATGCAAACATCGGACACCTCGGCCTCGTGCACCACATGGAGATCGGGTATGAAGTAGTTCTGCTTGGGCTGCGAGCATGTGCGGCCAGTCATGTGCGGCCTGCAGCGGCACTGTCCGGTCAGCACATCGCAAAAGTTGTCATAGGAGCCGCCGGCATCGCAGTTGCACATGGAGCAGCCATCCTCCGATTCGGACAGCTCAAACGTCTCGGGCATGCACTGGTTGCAGTCCTTGCCGGTGACAAAACGCTTGCACTTGCACTCGCCCGTGTGCATCACACAGCCCGAGTTGTTGATCGTGCCGAGTATGTTGCAGGTGCATTCCTCACAGCCGTCGGGATTGTTGGGCTGCAGATTCCAGTAGCCATCCTTGCACTTGTCGCAGCGGCGACCCTTCACGAAGGCCTTGCAGTGGCAGGCGCCAGCCTCGGCGCCGTTCTCCGGGTCGTTCACCGAGTCGCAGATGCCATCGTCCAACGAGCCATATGGATCGCAGTCGCAGGGCTGGCAGACATGCTCCGACCGGATATCCTGAGAGGGATCGCGGTAGAAGTACGGCATGCACTCCTCGCAGTGCTGGCCCTGGGTGTTGTGCAGACAATTGTCGCACATGCCACCGGACACATGGCCCGAGGCGATGAACAGTGCCTCATCGAAGTGACAGCTGACGGCGTGCTCGTTGCATTCGCATTTCTTGCAGGCATTTGTCTGCTTGCCAAATGCCGGCTTCCAGGGCAGATCGTTGAAGAAATCCTCGCAGGACTCGCAGTTCAAGCCCTTGGTGTTGTGGGTGCACTCGCAACGGCCGTGCACCATGCCATCTCCGAACTCTCCCTGGATGGCCATGTCCAAGGGCAGGCACTGCGAGGCATGGCCATAGCAGGAGCAGGAGCCGCGCACCACCATATTGGAGATGCCGTAGTAGTACTTCTCCTCGTTCTCCAGCCGACTGTCCAGCAGATTGTCTCCTAGCTTGTGCAGCTTCGACAGCTGGATCCTCAGGTTCGTCATCTTCAGCTGGTTCTGCACGTGCTCCGCGTACGGATCGGATACATTTATGTTCGGCGGCAGCACGCGGAAGATCACCTCGCCATTGCGCGAAGGCTCCACATTGGAGTAGCGCGACGTGCACATCACATCCGTAATGTTGTGCAGCACAGTGGACACACCCGGGAAGGAGTCGGCGCAGTCGTAGGCAAAGTACCGATACACATGCCAGGTGCGGCCGAAATCAAAGGATCTCTCGATGTACATGGCCGCCGGCCGGAAGGTGGTAAAGGTGATGATCAGATGGGTAAAGTGGAACTCCGCCTCGAGGTCCAGTTGAATGGTGGCATTCTCTTTTCCATTCTCCGACTGCCACCAGGTGGGCAGATTCGTGCCCGGCTTCGTCTTGTAGATGATCTGCCCGATGCGATGGTTCTTGTACGGATCGTGGCGCGTCTCCTCGCGCGTGTCGCACAGGAAGCACTTCTTGTCCTGCAAATGGGACAGAATGCAGAAACGCTCCGGCGAGTGCAGGCCACAAGTCGAACTGGCCGTCAGTCGATTCTCGCGTCCAATCAACAGGTTGCCGGTAGCCGGGTAGCATGAGGAGCGCTCGCACGGATGCGTCTTGATGTACTGCCGCGGGGGATTGCGCGGCCGGTCACGGCGCCCATGCTGAGGTGGCCTCTGCGCCTCCGTGCCCCATAGTGGGGTGAGTACGGCGAGCACAAAGAAAGCCGCGATAAGGCCGCTGCGATGCGGTCGCAGCAGCTCCAACATCGCAAGCGGTCACACTCTCTCCACACACACAAGCACACTTGTGTTCTCTCTTTCTCTCTCTCTCTCTCTCTCTCTCTCTCTCTCTCTCTCTCTCTCTGTGTGTGAGGTTGGGGTCGTGTTCCACTGGGGGACTTCCGGTCGCGTCTTTAATCAGCTTTTTATTTCGTTTGGTTTCTGCCACGTGATCCTCTGTAGGATAATCTGAAAATGGGAAAACTATGAATATCTGCTTATCCCGCTCACTCTTCTGCTTACTCTGACTCTTATTCGCTCTCTCCTGTGTGCCGTTATCCTTTCATATGAAATCTAAAAAAAGACAACAACAGTTATATGATGCACTCAATGGCACTAGCTTTATCTCTCTCTTACCCTTTTGTTTTTCGGATTCTTCTTCTTGTCTGTTGTGCACCGTTTTATCCTTTCATGCTGCGCTCTCCTTAAGCTCTGAAAAAACCAAGAGAAAAAGCGACGACATTGGTTAGATTTTTGTTCGTTCTCTGCCCACACCAAACTTTGATCTTCTTATCAACATGAGATGCTCTAATTTTCACATTTATTTTCGTTTTCTTGTACCAAATAGCAGCCACCATCCACACCCAACGAATCTTACGCACCGACTGAGACGCAGAATCGAAACGGAAAACTGAATGAACTCAAATCGCAACTGTGTACAACGAATAAGAATAAAGGCGATAAACATAAACCCCAGCGTTTAATCCGTTGTTGCCTGGTGCCTGGTTTATCAGCTTCAAGTCTTGGATCCACTTGGACCAAGTCAAACACTGGACTGTATTTTGTTTATAGTAAAAAGAAAGGGTAGAATGGTTTAAACTATAAGGAAGGGAAATTTGTGATTAATTTTGTTGCTTCTCTGATATTTTCTTGTATCTTTATGGAATTGATTACAAATTTCACTAATGTTAAAGAACCATCTTCCAAATCTTTACGGAAGGACTGGAATACAAGTTAAGCAAACGAGTAACGAATCTCTCAGAATTGTAATTCGCTTTACACTGGAGAGCATTGCATATTCGTGGCCCTCTCCTAGTACCTTCCCAGATTTCCCATACCCGAAGCCACAGTTTGGGTTTCTGCTTCATCTCTTATCGCCTAGTCGTCGCAAGAGAGAGGGGCCAGGGGTGCACGCAACCAAATCGAAACCAAAAACGTAAACTGGGCTACGCGCTGGCGATAAGCATTCCCCAAAGTCTCGAAATGCCGTCGGACAATCCAGCAAACAAGATGGGGAGCAGTGGGAGCACATTGTCGGGAGCTGGCAGCTCCGCAGGCTAAAAATATTTCATAATTTCAACTGTCCCCCAGATAAGAGTTCATTCACAGATACAGATAAAAGATGTGCCCCTACATAAATATGATTTTTTTTTTTGGTCCCGTAAACCCGGAGCTTCAGATATTTCGAATCTAACAGCTAAAACGATGGATCTAAAAGGGAATTCAGAACTTTGCATAGCATTTAGAAAATTTGTATGGGCATCGAGGGGTTCGTACTCCTTATACATAAATCGTTTATTGTTCAATTTGTCTGTTTTCTGTTTGTTCGTTGATTAAATTCGTTTTCAGTTTCGTTTCAAAAGGCGGCATAGAGCGGCTGAGGAAACGGGCAAATAAACAAAACGGCAAAAAACAAAAAAGACAACATACACACAACACATCTACAGATGGGGTTATTATCGGTATGGGCACTACATACACACATACTTATGTACATAATGGAGCGGCAGACGACTTCATGTGCCAGTACAGTGGAATGTATGTACATACAGTGTGTCTGTATATAGAGACTCCTCTGGGCAGTTTATAAAAATTTGCTCATACAATTTTCTTGGTTCTTTTCTGTTCTCCAGTGCCTGTGTGTTTATATTTCCAATTTGATTTGACCACACAGACACATCCGAGAGATCACTGAGAACACAGAATGAGACACAGTTCGGTTGTTGGTGTTCGGTCTGGAGCACACATGTTGTGGAAGTTTTAGAATCTAACATATGACATCAGATGCTGGACTATAATTAGACCCCCAAACTGCACATCAAATCCTGCCTGTCCCGCCATGCCACACAATCTAGAAGATGAATGCCAATCTGCCTCCAAGGCGAAGCTTGGCTCACATTTTAATTAGCCATCAGCCATCCCACCCTCGCTCCCTGCCTGCCATTGTTGCCGAGACGAAAAGCGCTTAGAAGTGCACTTTTTCGAGTCCCCTGCCTTGTAGTATGAATACGAGTAATGTCTTCACTTTGAGGCATGGCATCATGTTACAGCAATGCACACAATCCACACTTAAATTTCTAGGCATGCTATGGCATGTTCGAGTACATGGAATTAGTAGTGTCTTATGGGACATACGAATGTGGGATTTGTGAGTGTAATTTCATAGCAGAAATTTATAGATCAGTTAGCAGAGACCCTGTACTTTGCAATTCAGTTGATTGGCAGTGGAAAAACATCTCGAAAAAGACCTTTCAATATAACAGTTGATCCCTACGACTCGTATAATAGGGTCTAACAGCTCACTCTCTCTCTCTCTCTCTCTCTCACTGTTTACTTCTGAGATCGCACATAAACAGAGAAAGAGAAACAGAAACAAAGTGGGAAAGTAGGAAAAACTGCTTAAAAACTCCGCGTGGAGTGGGAAAAAACCACTGTAAATTCACTTACCGGACAATTTGATTCCAGCTACAGAACGGATTGGGATTTATGTATGAAAATTCCTTGCGTGGGGGGGGCAGGAGAGTGCTACGTTGACCCAAACACATTTTCTGTTATACAGAAAAAACAACACACATTTTGGTTGCAGTGCCAACACTTTTTCGACTTCTTTTTATAAACTTCAGGGAGTACACACACACGCGAACAGACTCGCGCAAAGACAAATACGAAGAAAAACAAGAAACAAGAAACAGAAGAGAGAACGGCGCGACGATCGAAAATATTTGAATGAAAGAAACGAAACTGGTATACGAAGGGTATATAAACGGTATGAGAGGGCGACAATAGCAAATAAGTATAAGAGAGATCTTAAAAATTATGTATTTGTTGCTGAACTATTTTAGCGAAATTGTTAATTGTATCTTTCCATCGTCTCCCCTATCCCTATTCCTTTAATTGAAAATAAATAAATAAATGAATTATATATACTATATATTTTCTATATTCAAATATTAATATATTTTGTTTGTTTGATATTCAGTTTTATTAGTTGTCAGACTAGTTGTTCAAATTCCCTTCGCAAAGGAAAAGAGCTTTCAAAACTCCCTTAACAAAGCAAAAGAGCTTTCATGGTGCGAAATTTGTACCAAAAATTAAGGTGTCGACATCAGGTAAATACGGTACAAAAAGTCCAGTGCTTTGAAAAGTTCGTCCTTTTTTACCTACTTGCCTTGCGGTCACATGCCAAAGAGAGGAATTTTCAGCAAAGGGAGGATTAGGTCAGCGGAGAGAGGATTAGGTCAGCAGAGAGAGCAAGACACTCTCTCCTCTCTCTCCTCATTTGTGCGGCTCAATATGAGCACAGAATCAAACAGATGCCATGCATTTCAGCTTTTGTCGAGTGACAAGCTGTCGGTATGTCATGGCGTGGAGCTTTTGGCTGGCTTTTCACTTGGCCAAGCTTGCAATGTCTGCCTCTAAAATGATGATGACTTTTGGATCATTGTCCGGCTTCCTTAGCAAAAGAAATACAATACAATACAATACAATAAATACAATGTATTTATGTATAAGCCGGAGTCTAGCCCCAATTATGTTGTAAGGATAGAAGAACTGCCCCAGAACCCACCGAGCCTATTATATTATTTACTTATGTTTCGTTTCCCTTTGAGGAAAACAATTGAATTTATTTTCCTCTTAAGTTGCGGGCGCTCTTTTTCAATATATTTCAATGTTACCATCTAACATAATAATTTACATACACTTACATACTGAAGACTGCTTCCAGAAGGGGTGATTTGTATATAAAATTCAAATACAAATATGTAAAATATAAGGTATACAAACCAATAAAAAAGACTATACATAATAAGCCAAATTGATTCTTCAAACGGATTAAATTATTGTTTCAGTGTTAAAAGTCTTAAGTTAAAAGTAATATCAAATAGAACATCGAAATCGTGGATTATGATTTAAGACAACGGTATATTTTTAAAACGAGAAGGTAAATTTTAGTATACTTTATAAATAGTTCCGCTGGAAACTAGAGCTGGTAGAACATCGATAGTGGCCACCCAACGAAACCCAATGAAAACCCACGATAGTATTGTTACCATCGAACAATTTGAAACCTCAATAAGGAAAGTCATAAAAAGTGCCCCTTATTTTTAGAAAATTGGCCAAATTAATTAATGATTTTCATTTGTTGTGTTGTGAATCGAACCACACTAGATTAATTCAGAAGCCATGGGAAGTCATCTTGAGGAGCAATATTCTCTTGTTGCTACACCTAAACTTACATATCAATCGATTAAATGACGTCGGACCACAGTGTCATCATATTGTTTAAATTCTAAGAACATTTCTAAGGCAACACCTTGCATGCCCTCATCAACAATCATCGATAGCAACACTCATCCACAGGAAAATATCGAAAGCCCCATCATCGAACCGAAGTACCTGGTCAATGCGGATTCATCGTCTTGCGACCATCGCCATCGCCGTGCTGTAGCGAAAGAAAAAAAACCGCCGCAAAACAGTCAAGACGGAGGCGCGCGCGTTTTTTCCGTAAAAAATACCACAAAAATATAAATAAAATCAAGAAAAACGCCGCCAAAACACACACAAAAAATAAATAAAATTAGTGTTATCTGCAAAAGTGCCCCTAAAATCCCCTGCTGCCAGCAACACCCCCCATCTATAAAAGTGTATCTGTGTGTGTGCGCGAGTGTTTGTGAGTGTGTGAAAAATGCATTAATTACAGCAATTCCAAGGCGAAAGAGCTACAGCAAAAAAAAATACCAGCAAATAAAATACCACAGCAAATACAATCAAATACAAACAAAAACAAAAAAGGAAAAAGCAAATATATAAAAATACCAACAAATAATGCAATTTTTTTGTTGTTTTCTCAATACAAAAATAATTTTTTGTGATGCTTTTTCTGTTGAATGAAATTCGTAGAAAAGCCGCAATAAAAAATCCCCCCAATTTGTTGTGTCTCCAAACGAGTAATAGTATATAATAAATAACATATAAACGGTAATATTTGGACTCGCGATTCGGTTCGGGATCGTTGGGCCATAGCTTAGGAGCCCCCACCGTTAAAGAACTGTACCGGTCGATCGTTACGTCGCTTCTTTGGAGGTTTTTCGAAAAAATACCAGCAAACAAATACAACCAGGAAAATGCGTAAATTTCGAAAACAGTCCAAAACGGGTGTACAATAAGCCGACAAAAAACAGGATCCCTTAGCAGTTAAGGAACACCTCATCAATGGTGTAAGTATTGCTGCTTTTTGTGGAAGCTTCCAGGAGCAGACAGGTGGGGCACATACCCCACAATTCCCCATGCCCCAGACCCATGCAAAACGAGTGGAACTGGAGGTGTATCCCTGATTTTAGGGTCAGACACACATTATTGGGGGGAGAGAATTGTTAAGGAGATACACCTACCATTCGAGGGAAATATATGCATTCTTGAAGGGGGGCAATGCACAGTTTCATAAAGAGTAAATTGCATCGTTTTGGAAGGCGAGCATAGAGCTATAATTTTGTAATAAATATTAGTGGTAGCAAAAATCAGATTCCTAAGTGGAGACTGCTGAGGCAGGAAATAAATGTGATTACGAGTTAATAAATAGTACGTAATTATAATTTCCCTAAAATCAGCATGTTTCTGAGAGATATATTTACTTGGACCAAAAAAATATATATTACATTTCTTAGCTCATTTTATTGGTTTTCTTTTTTAAAGGGAGATTTTCCACCTTTTTCTAAACCTTTTTACTATACAACTATAAAAATGAGTACAAATTTAGTAAATTTTCTATCCAAATCTAGACGAAAGTTTCATAGCTGTCTGGGTATTTTTCTTAGGAACAGAAAACATGTGTCACAAACCAGAGTTTATTTTTATCAGAATTTAAAATATTCAAATATGTTGCTGAAATCATAGCTTTAACGATTTGTAATACGAAAATAAAAGAGGGAATTAAAAATATTAATTTCTTCCCACAAATTTCTTTCTTTCTTCAGCCTGTATAAATATATGACTATAGATTAGAAAATGATAATCATTAACACTTGTATATAATATTTCCTTTCATTGTTCCATATCATTGCAGCTCTCACTTCAATTGGTAAGAAAGGAAATCAAAACGCAACGAAAACCAAACCAATAAATGAGTTTGGATAGTGCAAGAATCTATGGAGCTGCAAATATCCATTTGTAGTTTCAACAAAAAGTGTACAAAAAGTGTTTTAAACAAGTGAAATAGCAATAAACCCAAGCAAAGTTATTTAAAAGTTGAAATATCCCTCAAAATAACCCCAGAAAATAATGAAATATCCCAAAAAATACACAAAAAGATGAAAAATCGGAATAAAACCAACAAAAATATGAAAAAATCGAAAGTATCTCTAAAAATTCCGAAAACAAATCGGACAAAAACAAAGCTAAATTCAACTTAAAAAGGAAACAATTCAACACATTCTATATAGAGGATATTCGCCAGCCGATCCGATCTGCAGCACAAAGAAAAATGGCACAACTTCTGTCTGGGGCGGGGGCTGGGGCTGGGGCTACGCTGCCGGCTTCGCAGTCCTCTGTCGCTGTCCTCTGCTGGCTGCGGGCAGCAATTAACTCGAAAGCAAAGAATTTCATCAGAAATTCAAAGCACACACACATGGACATTCGTGTATACTTGTTGGGTTAGGGGGAAACGACGGATGACGTGCAACGGGGCTGAAAATAAAGAGCGGCGGCAGCGACGTTGGCAGCGACTACAAGCAGCAGCAGGCAGGCGAAAAACCCAACGAAAAAGTAACATGGCGCTCGTTTGTTCGCCTGTACGTGCGTTTGTGTGTGTGTTGCAGCAAAACTACACAACGAACAACGCAAAATAAACTAGGCAGAGAGAGAGGGAGCAACATATGCGCTGCTTGCACAGGTTAAAACGAGATGGCCAGCGTTTTGGGTTGGAGAGAAATTGTCGTGTCGCGTCGCGTCGAATCGGTTGTTTTTTCTTCTTAACCCGTTTTGTATGCGTGCGCCTGCGCTAGTATGGGTGTGTATGTGTGTGGAATACTACGTCGTTGTGTGTGGCGAGAAAAACTACAAAGCTGTCGCGGCATGTGGTGGCATCTCTTCTTACCACACCCCTCTCTCTCTCTTGCTATAAGTCGTTGCTTCAAATACTGCAAATGCTTCCCATCCCCCTCTCTCTGACAGCAGCCCGTGCAAATGCGGTCGGTCGTCGTCGCTGTCGTTGCTGCTTCTTCTTTCTGCTTTTGCTTTGTGTGCATGCATGTGTATGTGGTCACGTAGCAGCGCGCTAAATACATACACTCCCGCCCATGTGTATGCGTGTGAAAACTGGTTTTTTCTTCTGCTTTGAAAATTCATGAATTCTAGGCAATCATCTTCTTTAATGGGATATTTCCCCCCATAACCATAATTATCATCGTAGATCATTCAATATGAGTTCTCCCAAAAACTAAACCAAATATCGCAATAATTGGTACCCGAGCGCTCAGGCCTTAAATGCTGTCTCAAAATGGCGTCAGGCGGCGCCTGTTCAAAACGAAAAAACTGGACGAAACGCAAAAAACGTGAACAACGCACAAAGAGAAACTATTTTTTCTGTGTAAAATTCTGTTATTTCTTTCAGTTTGTTTTCTGTTTGTTTTTTCGCACACGTCAACAAAGAGGGTGGGTGGGGTGGTCGGTTTGCGAAGTGAGACAGAAAGAGAGAGAGCAAGCAGGCAGCAGAGAGAAACAACAACCGCACCCCACCAAGCATGTAAGGCGACTAAAGCGGGTCTGTCGCACGGGCCCCAACTTTAAGTACAGCCAGGCCCTGGCGAGCGAGAGAGAAACTTTCACGATCGATTGGAGCAGCAGCAGCAGCCCCATTGTGTTACCCCCTATTCCCCCTGTATAAATTAGCATAGGTGCGAGCGAGAGGCAGCTCGTTTTGCTCGGTATACATATGTATTCCGAAGAGCGGCTGCGCAGTTACCATTTTTGTACAGCCAGCTAGCACTCACGCACACACGTACGTACATACATTCATTTGCACAGCCATCGCGCACAGGCATAGAGACCCCACCATGTTATATGTGATTTCCTGCCTGCGCCCCCAAAATGGGAAAAACTACAACTACAACATGCGGGCTACAAAGCTACAATTCTATGCCGTATCAGGCCGTGGATGGGGATACGTCGTCATCAAACGGAAGAACAACGCGCGCGTACCCAAAGCACCCCTCATCGACACAGCACACAGCACATACACACAGCCACAGGCAGAGACGGCAAAATGACTACATAACCATTTATAAATATACAAGCAGTGGCAGAGGCAGAGGCAGCAACAGCGACAACGACAGCGCTACAACAATGACGAACGGACGGACGGGCGCAAAAAACAAACCCAACGGAGAGCGACAGAGCAGAGAGATACTCGTTTTTCCATGCGGCCTCCCCCACCCCACAATCCAAGCCATGCCATGCCGTAAAGAAGAAGAAGAAAAAAGTACCAGCTATAAATTCTTTATATACATAAAAGTACATAACACAACCAATACACACACACACACACACACACGCGTACACTCTGTGCTCTCTGTGTGTGCGCGCTGAAGCAGCAACAACATGGAACGAAACGACGTCGAAAACCTGTCGCTCCATCTCACTCTAGCAACCAAGTGTGAGCAGCTCTATCTCACTCTGGCCACCGAAGAGACCCCAGGCGTTCAGTGCAAACGTCAATTATAAGCAAACAAAGCGCTGTTGCCGAACTTCATCAGGCAGAGCAGCAGGCAGATCAGCAGAGGCAAGCCGCAGCAGCACAGGCTGCAAGAAAAAGAGAGATAGTGCAAAGAGTCATGCCAGAGGGACAGAGACAGAGTGAGAGAGAGCTAAGGCTGAGGCAACGTTGCCGAACTTCAGCAGCAGCATGAATTGTATTTGCTATTCTTGTTTCTTCTCTTCTTTTGGTTCTTTAATGCATGGAATTTTAACATGCTCTCCTGCCTCCCCCTTTCCTTCTCTCCCACCCTTAACCCTCTGAACAGCTCCCTGCCCCGCCCCGCCACACAGCACACCGCGTAGCTATGCTTCGTTGGGTTGGTTTTCGGCCTCGCAATGGACCCCCTTCCAAAACTCCCGGGTACCGGACCATGTTCTTCGAATGGAATGGTATACACGGGATGTTCTTATGGAGAGTGAATAGCTAGGGCGGGGACGGGCTTAACTGAGGTAGGGGTAGGACGACCCCGGTCTGGGATCTGGAATGGATTATAATAACGTGCCACTGTCGACGGACAACGTCTCTCATTTTCCACCTTCTGTTCATTTTTGAAAAGAGATGAAATGACCAGAAACCAGAGAACAGGAAAATCTATGTATATTTTCTGGTTATAAATGAAAGATTTCTATGGAAAATGTATATTCCTAGAGATAATATTTATATTTTCAATTGGAAATTTATGGTTTCAGATCAAATATGTGATTTTCTGAGTACTTTCCGACTCTAAATATAAGTTATCGATGCAAAAACGAAGATACTCATACTCATCTTCATCTTGATGATGTCTCTCTCCATTTTGTGTGTGTTTTCTGATACCAAAAATAACATCCCATTATCAAATAACTTTTTTGTATGCATCTTTTATTCTCCCAAAAGATCAAGAGATATATTTTGCCATGGAAATTGTAATTCGTTCTATACAATTCCCATTTTCCACCCCGCTCTCCCGCATCATTGTAGTGAGTTTTTATTAGGGAAATAATCATCAACATCCGACCTGAGGGCTCGCTGTAGATTCTACAGAGATTCTGTGGCACTTGGGGCGGGTGAATTGTTCGCTGAGAGATCTGGAGAGGCTTGTGAGTTGTCCCCCATTGTGTGTTTTCAATATGTTTAAATTGTTGAGAATTAAATTAAATTAAAGATACTTTTGCAATTTTTCCATTTTTAGTTGTTTAAATTAACATAAATTGGCGCAAGTGAAGAAATCCAAAGATCCATAGAGATCCCAAAAATATCCCCAAAAGAAAGTGCAAAACCATCCCCCAAATATAGTGTGAGAGTGATGCCAAAAGTGCCAAATGTATCCCAAATATATATTTATAAAGTGTATCTAATGAATGTATCGTTTTTCCCTCCCAGTGCAAATCCTCCATAAAAGAAAGTATCTAAAATCGAGAAAATCTAAACAACAAAAAATCAAAGATAAAGAAGATATAGATAAAGATCCCTTTAACACAGATTGAAATGTGTGTATAATGTTGAATGCAACAAAGTGGAGTGCTCCACTCCATTTAAATTCGATAAAGATGCGCCACCGCAGCCGTGGCCTCCATTTGTGGCATACGACGCGATGCAACGCCTAAATAACCGTGGAAGAAGCAACTGCTGTGAGTGCTCGAATGTTGTCGAAACATGGTACGCGACAGTAGCCGTAACATTTGTTTTGGAAAATTAGCCGAAACTACGACAACCACAACGCCCCAACAGCAACAGCAACAGATCCTGCAACATTCTGTGCAGCAGCAGCCACATCATCAACAACAGCAGCAGCAGCCAGCATTCGTTGTGGATAGCAGCAGCAACAACAACAATCTGAATATTAATAATATTAATAATAATAATATTAACAATAACAATAATAACAATAATCAGAAATTAAAAAGGTAAGAAAATAGTAGATCTGTAAAGGGGAAATCTGTGGATATTTTGGCTACCTTTGGGTACTTTTGGGTCACTGAAGAAAAGTAAACAATGTGCATAGACGAATCGGTTGTAGAGTACAACCTGGGGAGGTTTGTAAAGAACTAATCTAGACTCTAGATTTATGGAGCAATAAATTGCAAAGGGTTATCCCTTTTTGGTAGATTCTTCTCTAGTCCAAAGACAAACATTCCTTCTGACTATCTCGCACCAAAAGTGTATCTGTTAGATGCGTATATATGTTTGTTTGTGTATCTGTGTGGGTGTCACTAAATGCTTTAGTCACGATTGCCCATTTTTGAGGCCAGAATACAAAAAGCAAAGCTCTGAGATACGTAGACAGTTGGTATGTTAATTTGTATCCGTTGGATGGCTGCGTAGGCCACTTATGGTAGCTACTTGCGGCCCACACGGAGCCACCAGCAGCAGCTCTTATCACGAGTGGGGAAACGTATCTGTATCTGCATCTGTGATGCATTTCTAAGCTGACGGCTTGACAGGGCAGGGCGACAGGGCAGGGCTCCTGCTTCTGTGGCAGTCTTCTGGCTGTTGCTTCTGTAATCGTTGAGATACGAAAAGCTAATGGCTTGGCTCTCTGTGGCCGTGCCCGAAAAAGAATGCGTAACGTTTTTTACCTTGACTTGGTCGCCGTGTATCTCTGTGTATCTTTTGCCTTTGCTTTGGTCTTTTTTGAGTATCTGTATCTGTGTGTCTTACCTGAGTGGGCCCCCTCTCGTGGGTGTCTGTGTGTGTGTGCGCGCTGCGGTGGCTACGTGTACAAATATTAGGCATCAGAACTAAGGCCAACAGCAAAATATACAGATACGCGAGGAGGAGAAGAAAGAGGCAGAATGGGATACAGATGCTTGTAGAGGAGAGAGTCGCAGTACTGGTTGACTCAGGGGGGGAGAATCGTACACATTACATTAGAGGCTCAGGAAGATACAGATACATTTACAGATGCTATCGTTGTGGAAAGATCCATCACAACATGTGCCACTCACTGTCTGCGGAAGTTGCTGCTGCTTGGACAGGCTCTCTCTTCCATCTCCCAACAGCATCTTTTAGCTTTCAGATACATCTTTATCTGGTTCTCCTATTATGTAATATTTATGTACCATTTTTTTGCGGTTTTCTGTATGCTTGAAAGCAGGCTTAAACCCAGTTATTTGACATGAATTTCCTAAGTGTATCTTATCTTTTGTTTTCTTATCTATTTCTTTGAAACGCGGCCATACTTTTATCAATTTAAAAGTAGATCTTTCAATGATTTTTAGCCCACATTTTACACACAAACGATCCAAACCCCAGGGTCAAAAAACGGAACAAAAAAACAGAGAAAAATCAAAAACAACGCCCAACAAAAAAAACATATAAACGTTGCAAACAAAACACCTGTCAGTTCGCTCTAAACATTTGCTTAAAAATACACAAAGCTCTCTCATTCGAAATGCTTAAAAGATTTGAAAATTCAACCTGCAAATACATTTACCTCTAGAGAATGTTTATACCTGAGAAATGTATTTCAAAAACGTTTCAAACTGAGAATAAATCAACAAAAAATTAAATGAAAGTAAAAAAATTAAATGACCAAATTAAAACTATACTAAAAACTGCAAATTAGCAACAACAAAAAATAAGATAATATATAGAAAAAATAAAAAAAATAAGCAATATATGGATGGAAGAGTATGAATACTCAACAGAATATTCCCTAGACACGAAAAGTAATACGAGATATTCGAAACTTATTTTTAAAGAAGCTGAAAAAAATCAAATGACAAAAACAAAGCAACGAAAAACTGGTAAAAACCACACTCTAAAAGTGCGTAATACATGTTTTAGTGAAAAATAAAAAAAAAACCCACAATTTTTGAACTATTGTCAGTGTTTTTATGCCTCACTTCTTATGACTATCATATCATACTGGCAAGTTCATTGTCAATGTCAGAAGCGAACCATGGCTATGGGCCTCGGTCTGTGGGGTTCGACGTCTACCGTTTTAAAAGTGCCTTCAATTTGATGATTTGTGTTGCGGTAATTACCAACAGAAACAACGACGAGTATTATAGAGGCATATCGAGAGACAGAGACCAGACCCACTGTTATTGTCTGACATTGATGCGGGTTTAATGCACCAAACATTTGGTAGGCAGAAACCGAGGCCTAGAGCCTACTCCACTGGCCGTGCCACACATCTGTTATTGGCGTAGGTCTCTCTTCCCTCTTCCCTCTCTCTTTCTGTGCCTCCATAAGGCCGGTTTTTGTTGTAAATAACAACAAAAAACATTTACAATTTTCGGTTCGGTTGAGTTCGGTGACTAATGAAGCAATTAAAACATTTGAACTCTTGCACTACACGGAAAAAATACAAATTTAGAGAGAAAATAGGGAATAGAGAAAGACAGAGAGAGTAGATAATATTGTTAACGCTTCATATTCCTTTCATATTTGATTGCCATTAATTTGGTTACACCCCTGCGCCTAGGTTTTTTCAATTAGTTCTCATTAAATTGTATACAAAAACTTCCATCCATATTCAAGGTTTTTTTTTGGAAGTGTCGATTGGCATTGGAAATACTCAAATACTTTTTGTATTTGGACAAAATAATGTCCCACATCTAAAGCAAAGAAACCCCGAAGACCCTGCGCCCTGACCCACAGAGATCCCTCTATTGCTAACCTCTCCATTCAGACCCCTCTCTTGCGACCTCTATATACGGTAGACCCTCTATAGACTGACTGTCCCCCATTGTCCCCACTCTATCTTTCAGATCACTTTATTAAATTGTATTTCGTGTTTCGCTTTTTAACACGAGATGTGGCCATCGCCGCAGCAAAAGCCATAAAACAGCAACAACAATGATCTATATCAGATTTTCTATATACACATACTATGTACATTTGTGTGGGTTTTTCTAGAGCTTTTGACTTGTTTCAATGTCATGTTACATTTATTATGGTTGCACGCCCGCCAATTACGTAGCCCTCTCTCATAGGGGAGGAAGAAGGGAGAGCTTCTATCTTGCTATGATAGAAAGGGAACTGAACCAGCTCTTCCCTCATTTATTGTTGTGGCACCTATTTTCCCTCTCTTATTTTCTGTTAAAGAAAAAATTCGCTGTCGGATCGGAACCCTATCTCGCTCTCATGGGTCAAATAGGTAAAACAATAAGGCGCATTTTAGCTGAATTTCCTTGTAATTTCGATAGTTTTGATCAGCTTCAATTTATCATTAAAACCATCTATCCATAGTTTCTTTTCTTTGATTTTATTCGTTGCTTTTGTTTCACTTTATTCTGTAAATAAATTTCTACCTTTGCGTTTGCTTACACGATTGCATCTTCTTTTTTCAGTGTGTTTTGCAATTGTTTTGCGTCTATTTTTAAACATTTTGTTAACAAACTTGTGAGGCAAAAATAACCTAGAGAAAAGAGATAATAAGAATCAAAGGGAAAGAGCCAAATTTCAATTAGAGAAGGTTTTCTTGGAAGGTTTTCAAATGGTGATAGAAAGTTTGATGTTCATGCAAATAAATAACATAAATTTATTTAAAAAAAACCTTAATAAACATTATTAAAAACATTAATTTGCCTTGAGTTTTCACACAATTTTTTATTTCCAAAGTGAATTCTCAATATATTTTCTTGTGTTGAAAAATGTGAATTATATTTTGAAACAATTTCGAGTGGTATTAATGCTTTCTTTGGATATCTAATTCATTATTCAGAATGTTCTCATAGTTTTTCTAAAAGTCTAAAGAAATCACATTGAAAAAAGCTAAAAGTATCTTTATAGCTTGCATTAAATTCACGTTCTATAAATATTCCTTTAAAAACTCTACTCAATTATTTCCGGCATCTATTCTGTCGAATAATAACCACTTCATTGTACTTTCGTACTGTGATAATTATTCAAATGTTTAGTCATTTTCACTCCCTATTACCCCCTCTTCACGCATTACTATCTCTCTCTATATGTATATTGTATCTACATATGTACAAATGTATATCTCTGGGGGGGGTCGGGTCTGTTTTTGTTTTGTTACGGGTCCCCCAGGGGTCTTAGTCTCACATATCGGATTACTGAACCAGAGAAGTGCTTTGAGAACTATTCAGCACCTAGAATAACTAAATATAATTCCAAATTAGTTAATATATAAATGTTCAGATGCAGCTTAGCCTTCTGGTGGCTGCACCTTTAATCTCTTTCAGCGTCATACAGTTCCTTGGTTCCTCTGTAATACATCTTCATCATCGTTTTCCTCCCATCTATAGCCCTCTAGCACCATCATCATCAGTCATCCTCCAGACTCCTATCATCTCATGTGTGAAATTATTTGGGAATTTTCTAATTTTCCCAGGCAAGAGGTTGGGTTATCTCATCGCCCCCTGCCCCCTGCCCCCTGCCATTCACCATATGATATCTCTATCAATTCCTCCGCATATTGCATGGCATTTTCTTGTGTATTGTATTACAATTTTTTTTGTTTTTTTTTGTTTTTGTTCGAGTTCGAGTATTACGAAACGTCGCAAAAACAATGCCAACACATGAAATAATGTGCAAAAATGTAAAACAATAGCTCTGAAACAGCGTGAATACTCGTACGAACACTCCGGTCTGTCCCGTACGAATACTCGTACGATTATATTAGCGATTATATATATGAAAAATAATTGCTCAACTTGCATGAACCGCTATGCCTCCCTCCCATACCTCCATACAGGGGGTACAGGGGCCCATTTGGCGTTCCAAAGCGTACTACAAAAATATATATGATGTACACATACATATGCATATTCGGTTTCCGTACACAATATGCGATATTTGGTCAAGTGTTTGAAAATGTGGCATGGGGAATGGGAATGAGCCAAGAAGGTTTTCCATATTGATTGAGGGAAATACACTAATCGTGTAACAGTTAACAGGGATTTACAAAGGTTTATGGGGGAAGAATATAAGGAAGAACCATCCATAAAAATAAGCATTGTAAATTAACCTCTAGAAATGGAATTTTTGAAAGATATTTCTGCCTTAAATTATATCTAGGGCATCCTATAAGAGATTTATGGCACAAATTTAAATTTTAAGTTTAAATTTATATTTAAATGGAAGAAAAATAGAGTAACTGAAGAAGATGATATAGAAACTGCAGAGGCTCAAAGATGATAAATGTACGTACATATGTACATACATTGTAGTACCTCAGAAATATAAGCTGGAAAGATGAACCCAAAAGTCAAAACCTGAGCCGCCCTCATCTTGTGAGCTTCCATTTCTTTGTCTCACTTGCTCTCGCATGTAAAAATGGATGAGACGAGCGGAGCCGGAGCTCAAGACTTAGGCTTTGACGTAGGCAACGTTGCCGCGCTTCACACACACGTTGACAAAAGGTGCGGTGTTAAAGAACCGGACAGCAGGACAGACACACACACACACAAAAGATTATCATCAAGACACTCATTCTGGCGAGTGTGTTAGAAAGAGATGGGAATGGCTGAGCTGTAGAAAGAGATGGCCAACAAAGAAGAGGCAACAAAGCAAAGAAATCGATTATTATTCCAAAAGAGCTGAGAAACGGGCTCAAGAAAAAAAATTATATACATGTACACATATGGTATATAAGGAAAGCACAGAAAAGAGGATGATGATGATGATGATGATGATGATGATGGTATGGTTACGGGCTCTCTGTTGGGTTCTGTTACCTGTTTTTGTATATTGATAACCAGTTGGAACAGTATGGAACCCGGGGATTATGCTGTTGATGACGATGACGTTGTTAACCGGTTTTTTTTTTACCTCCATAAAGGAGAATGATACCATGAGATACGATCAGGTGCTGCATGCATAATACTTTGCAGAGGGGGAGTTCTCCGTCCTGCCTACAAATTACTATGGCTACATTGTTGCAGCAGCAATTTTATCATCGTTCTGTAGTATGGCTTCAAGAAGGAGATAAAAGCATGAACACAGTGAAACTCTGAGCGGTATTATAGAAAGGGGTGGTGGCGGGGTCGGCCTGTAAGAGATATTGTACATGAGATACAGAAACAACACACACAGCAGTGTGTCGGAAAGAGATAGAGAGAGAGAGAGCCCGGTGCCACAAAGCAACACAAAAGTTTTGTTTTTTTCGATGCTGAAGTTTGGCAACGTTGCGGCCTTTGGCAACGTTTTTTTCGCATCTAACAACAGCAGCAGCAGCAGAGCCAGCTGTAGACGTTTCGCTTCTCCCTATCCCTCCCTTCGTCTTTCCTTGTGTTGTGTGCGGTGCTTGTTTTTCTTGTTTCACTCACACACACAGAGGCATACAGTTGTCTTGCCTTTTGCTTGTTTTCAATTAGAGAGAAAAAGAAGCAGCAGCAATCGCGCCGCTGTCGCTGCTTTCGCGGTGGTGCAAATATACCGCACGTTGTGTAAACATCAGTCGCAGTCGACGTCGCAGCCAATTTTGAATTTTGCCTTTTGGCATGTGCAAATGCACACACACACACACACATGTGTTTTATTAGCGATTTCTGCCCGACTATACATATACATATGCGCTGCCCTCTGCTCTGGTGCCTTTGTGGTCTGCCTGCTTTTGTTGGGTTTCTTCGCCTTCTCCCTGCTTCTGCTACTTCTTCTGCTTCTCAGTCGCAGTCGCCGTCAGCGTCAACGGCGGACGAGGCAAATGCTTTATTTTTATGCTGGTATTTTTTTTTGCGGCACTCTCAATCGCTCGTTCTCGCTCCCTCTTGCGTGCGGCTGGCTCTCTTTGTCGTTTAATTGCAAATGAGTCATGCACACACACACACACACAGACACGCTTTGAGTGGAGAATCGCACACACAGGCGAACACATGTACAATTCAAAGTCCGTGCTTGGTCAGCAAGTTTTGTTGTTGTTATTATTATTTCTTCTTATTTTTTCATTTTTATAATTCTTATTTTTTGTGTTTAATCAATTGGACTTTTGATTTGCTTGTACTAGCAGAAGAATTTAAAGGAGAAGAGAAAGCGCGTGAGTGCAGGAAGCAAATGATTAATGTCCATCAAGTGCTCTGGCTCACTCACTCCGTCAATCAATCGGGGAACCCCTCCCCGTCTCTCTCTGTACATCACTTCCCTCTAAGCTCAATTTGTGGTATTCATCCTGCCTCTATTTCTCCTTCCCAGAATCTCTCTGCATCTTCTGCTTCTCAATCTCTTGTTCTTATTCTTTATTGAGGACTTTCCTTGATGGAAACAAAAGCTTTTCCGACCCCTGAAAATGGTAAGAGAAACGGAAGAAGCAAAATCAAGTGGATATCAAAGGAAAGGAAATTCGTTATTTATTAAGGATTATAAGCTCCTCTTACCAAATAGTAGTGGAGGGGCTCCAGTTCCTGATTCAATTGGTGATTGCTTTGGTGTTAATGAAATTTGTTAATTTGAAAAAAGATTAAAACTAGACCTGGCCCATTTTGTGATTGCCTCAAATTCATAAATCCAAATGTTTTTCTACGCCAAAATGCAATTTGGCAATATTTCATTCGAATCTTTTCCCCTAGAATTCATACACCGAAATTGGCAATTCGAATGCAGATATTACATACATATTTAATAGGCTGCCTTTTTTTATATTTTTTTCTTGAATTTTTCCAATTAGCAAAGCAATTAAAAATAATAATTATTATTATCAAAGAAGTGCCCGCCTCTCCCTCTCTGTCTGTCACTCTTGAAAACAGCTGACAAGTGCAGAAAAAAATTATTAAATAAATTGTTACGTAAATTTTGTATGATATATCCATTGTTATATACAATACAGTCGCATATATACAATTTTTTTTCGACAATAAAAAAATCCATAAAGCGAGAATTGAATTAACGAAAAAAACATCACGTATACGCCCCGAGTGACAATGATGAAAAAATAACAAAGGGGAAACGCTAACGAGAGAATTGTTGCGACACAGAGATTCCCATTTCCAGAGATAAAATCAAAATGTCACTGAAATGAGACCGAAAACAGACCGACAATAATAGCCATCATGCTCGCCCAATACCTCGTGATATTCATCCATAATTCTGTTGGATGGAACATTCGGTCGGTGTACAATTGCAATTGCAATAATTGACAATAATTTCCGTAATTATTCCGTAAATTACTTTGATTTGGTTTCAGTCAGACAGTCGTATATGTACACATACTTTTATACACCCACATGACAGCCGGTTTATCCAACCACCCACCCAACAGCGGGCCCCTCCAACGTCCGCTTCGATATAAATCAGTTGGCTAATTACACTAGTCAACAGCCAAAAAGCACCCCAAGCTTGCCATTTTATTCGGTATTCTGCTTGGAAACTCAGAGCTTAAATTTAAAAAAAGGTGCTAAGTTCTTCAAAAAATACTACAAATATATAAAAAACCTTATCACAAAAAAACTTTAAAATAAAATTAAATTTAAACAGCCATAACTCATTAAAACCATTCCAGTCTACCTGAATTTTGTTGGCTAGTTTTAATTTATAGATTCCAATTGTCGAGGAGTGGAGTGGGAGGGAACCTATAACAATAATAATAAAAATCCCGTAATTATGAATAAAAACCTGCGCTTTCAGCCATTAAACAGTTATATCACGTGCCCCATAAATACACCTACCCAAACAGATTGACATCATCAGTGAGTGAAATATCTAAAGAAAACGCAAAGAAAAAACTACACTTCTAGCGCTATATTTATAATTGCTTAAAGGCCTTACGACCCGCATGTAGACACCCCTAGAGAGGGTCGACATTCATTGCAGTTCAGCTGTGAAAGAAAAGGTCATTGAACTCGTTGTTTGGTGCCCTTTGGGCACACTAATTCTCAATGCTGCAGCACAGACACGTCACGCGAGAAGACAAATGCCAAAATATGTTGCACTTGTTGGGCAATCCATGCGGCACCCAGTCATTTGTCAGACACAACTTTGCGGCATAAACAGAGAGGCATAGAGCCAGACCCAGGGTCTGGTCTGTGGAGCAATAGATTTATATTTTGCTGTTGTTTTTTTTAAACAAGAGCCGATAAGAAGCCTTTGAGTTCGAACAACTCAATTGATTGAGTTACAATTTTATAAATTAAAATTTTCCAACTTAATGACTGGGGAAAAACATGCATCAAGAGCTTATTTAATAAATAATATATTAGTATCTCTGAATTGTGTGTCATTACTGACCTATCCCTGTCATGAAATGTATCGTGGAAGAGTCATGCCACTATTTTATATAAACCTATTGCTGGCACGAACAATCTATTTGAGATGATTCGTCAGCAGTGTATGAAAATGATGATCAATCCATGGCCCATCTCCCATTTTTATTCTAGAGATGTTGGTGCTCCTGGGAACTGTTCTGTTTCTCTGGGGGTGTTGGCAATGTCTTTATTCGCAGGTCCAAAGTTCAATTATAGTTTTACGCATACTCACACACAACAACTGGGAGATAAATGTGTGTGAGAGTGGTTCATTCATGCGGCCTTTCGCTTTCATGCTCACTCTCCCATCTGCTCCACACTCTCCACTCTTGTGCTCCTCTCCAACGTCTATTTGTCTGTAGATAGAACAAAGAGACCCATGCAAAAGCGACTTATAAAGATAATAACAAAAAAAAGTATCCAGCAAAAGCAAAAGAGATACAAGAACTTTTGCACATACACACATATCGGTACATATGTACATACATTTTTACATACTTTTGTATGCATATGGCTTCCTGCAGCGTGAAAAAACGTCATCATGCCAGTGGAATGACAAAGAAACAAAAAAAAAAAACAAAGCAAAACAAAGCCCTCGCGTTACTGTTTTTCTATTTAGCGGTTTTTGGACCTTGAGCCTTAGCTTTGACTCTCTGTCTCTCGCTTTGTCTAGCATATGCTTTCTGCAGTCGTAACGGTGGAGAGGGTGAAAGAAAGAGAGAGAGAGAGAGAGGAGGGAGTTAAACAGCTCAACTTGTTCTGCACAGGATATGCAGTCGCAGACAACAGTCAACAGAGGCAGAGACCCACCCAGCAGACCCTTTTCATTTCGTTGTTGGTTGCTGCTTGATTATTATGCAGCGCCATACAATAACTTTGACATTCAAAATATGTACATGCATACATAAATATGTATGTACATATGCCCAACGGAAGGAAGTCCGCGGTACCACATTATGAATACACGTGCAAGAAGAGCGTAGGTCGAAACTTTGAATACCCTAAAATATAAATATACAATAAGGAACTTTGCAATGGAGTTACACCCTTCATTGGCAGGGTATGCAGCGAAGAATTCAAAAGAGGGAATTGAGAACAACGTGGATGGACTCACAAATGCAGAAATCAGCATAGGCCACAGGCACAGGCACAGGCAGCGCATCGACGTCGGAGGAAGCCATGGCGAAGGGGAAGCGAAGGCAGCGATAGCAGCTGTGCATTATGCGAAGGCAAACAACAAAAATACAAAACAAAATGCAAATGCAAATATTCCAGCAATCACAAACACACACAAACACACAGCATAGCATAGAGAACCCCCATGCAAAACTCTTTTCCTATGGGTGTCTCGCTCTTTCTAACGCAGCTTCAATGAATGAAACTGTATTTTTTATTTTTTCGGTTGCGGCTGCTGCCTGCCTAGCACTCTCTCACATGGCTTAGGCAAGGCAGCGGCTGCTCTCCCATCTCACCCATCTCCCTTGCACTCATTAAACTTCAACCCTTTTTGAGGCCTTTACCGTTTGATTTATGTCAAGTTATGCAAATCCCATTCCCATACTGCAAGCATTAAATTTCACATTTGATTTTCTGCTTTCGCGGTTAATTGTCCGCGAAAAAGCGTAAAGAGGGGTAGGTCGGCCCTGACTAAAGGGTTTTTAGTGCTCCAAAGGTTATTCGCTTTAAAAATTAAGACTTTGGTGACTCCTTTATAAGTTTTTCTCTGTCTCTGAAGCGCGTTTATTGTATGAACTGACAATAATTAACTTAAATTTATCACTTCCCCCATAACTAAGAATGCTGAAAAGATATAAAAGAAAGAACACCATATGTTCGTTCGCCGATCTACCCCAGAAAGAAAACTTCCACACTGAGAACCGAACTGCCTGCTAAATCGTTACACGTCATTTCACTTCAACTTCAAGCGACTGTGACGGTGATGGTGGGCTGGGGATCGGAACGGTAGGACGGAGTAGACTGAGCACCGGGGACCGATTTAGACACCCGGAAATTGTCGTCTTTGCTTGGGCTTCAGTCGGTACGGTTTCCCCATAGGCCCATATGTACATATATTTATCTATATATACCTGCATTTTGTTTGCTTATTTTTTTTGCATATTTGAATACAATTTTTCCTATAACACGTAAATGTACTGACTGTGTTTTATGGCTGTCTAGACACCGAGACGGATAGCGATACTAACACCCACATTTGGAGAGGCTCTACAACCTCCAGCCACCTCTCTACGCAAACTATTGATCTCTGCGACTCTCTCCGTCAGCCATAGATATATTCTATTTGCTGCACACACATGCAGAATGTATTTCATTAAATTGCTTTCAAATTGCCGGCACTCTCGTGATTAATGCTAAACGACAACGACAAACTTTGTGCAAAAACAAATGCAAATTGTATAATTTGACAGATATTTGTCAAGATGATTGAATTTCTCATTAATTTCTCAAGTTGATAAGTGTCTCGAATACTCAAATACGTTTCTAGAATCTAGAATCTAGAATCTAGAATCTAGATGTGGCCACACAATTGATCAATAGATCAAAGACTTACTTGGCATGATGGATCATGGGAGAACTGTCTTTGGAGATGTGACGAAAGTCGGTGACAAAATGAACCATAGAGATGGATTTTTTAATGGTTTATTGGGAAATAGTTTTAAAGTGAATTGAGTTCATTATTTTAATGTCTACAGAGTGCATTTTATGGCTAGGTGATTTGAGGGGATTTTGATATTCTGAGAAGTGGCTATGGCCAATTCCAATGCCATAGAGTAGGCTCGACAAAAAACATTTCCACTGCTTACCCTCGTTTATTGAAATCTATTGAAACTTCTGCCTTAATTTAACTGGACTTTCTTTAGGCTTTGAGGCCATGCGATAATCAGCAAACCCATAAAGCTGCCTCCGTTTGGACATCGGGCACATCCATCAATTGCGGATGATGCGGGCTGTGCATCCATCAGCTGCGACTGCGACCAGCTGTGTGTTCGCTGAAAGAATTCTCACACTGCAAGTATCTCTGCCAGCCAGCTACAAGTCTCTGATGAAGGAGGTCTTCACCCACACATAGCGCCCACTCCAGCGTCTCGTCTTGGGCTTTTTTGGTTTTGGAGTCTTTGTGGAAACTCGTTTTGTGGTGTTGCACTAGTTGCAACTAGTTTTTGCTCGCTTTTATTATTGTTGTTGTTGCTTCTGCTGCAGCTGGATGGCGGCAACGTATCGCGTATCTTTCCATCTGTATCTCTGGTGCTGTTGCTGTTGCTGCAGCTGTAGCTGAAGAATGAGCTCAGCTTCGGTCTGAGTCTCCACTTGGAGCTCGCTCAATTGCTTGGTCTAGTCTCAGTTCGTGAACTATCAACGTTTTCACCCGCTTCTGCTCGGCTCAGACTTGATGCTTCAGACTCTGCAGGCTTTTTGCAGTGGATACCCAGTAGTTTGTGGGAGAGATGAAGGGTATATTGGTTTTCAAGACTTACTGCAGAAGGAAGAAATCCTTAAATGATTTTTTTAGAATCGTTTCAACATTTATGTTGGCAAACTTTTACTTTATATTTTAATATTTACTCTATATTGGTATTTTGTTAAGTTAATTTCGGACTTTTGATGATGTTGTTTGAAGATTGGATTATACTTATTATTAGAATTTTTGTTACATTTTTCAGTAATTGTATTAATATGTTCTCAGTATTTTCGCAACATATTCTGTTTCCATACATATTTTTAGTACATCTACAGAAGGTCTTTTCAAGTCCTTTATTGCATACCATAATGGGCATCCCTTAGTTGCTACCAGTCTCATCTTGAACATTCCTTCTTGCTGTTCTTTATTCGTTGAGCTTGTTTTTTGCTGCAGTGCGTTTTGCTCGTTCGTTTTACTCTTTTTGCTCTTTAAGTGCAGCTGTCAGTCAAAGTGGCTGCAACTGCCTCTAAATGTCTCCACATTGTCCGTCCCGTCCGATTCTGTTCTGTTCTGTACGGGTTTGTACGGGTTTGTCTGTATGTTCTGTGCTCTGTTCTGCTCTGTGCAGGCCAGGCCGCCTGCAAATGAGGTCGCTTAATTGTATTTTCTCTCTTTCACGCCAGCGCAGAGCCAGCAAACATGTCGCATGGGTTAATGGATGTGTGTGAATAATCGTATCATCTGCGTACGAGTATCCCTTATGCCATCCCATACTATTCCCCTTGTGCCTTCGTTTCGTTCCTTCATTAGTTCATCCTGCCATGGGCTCTCCTTCTGTTGTGCGTAATTTAATACTTTTTGATGCGAAATGTTTGATGAACCTTGCCCCGCCCAAGAGACATTTTCATCCTTCTTTTCTTTACTTATTCCATTTTTTTTTGTTCTTATTCATTATTATTTCAACTTTCTTGTGGTTTGCCTTCGCCTGAAAAGGCTTGTTATGGGAATGTGTGTGTGTGTGTGTGTGTGTGTGTGTAGAAAATGTATAATAATATTAAGAGACAGATGAGACAATGCTCTGTCATGCCATGCAGTGGCAGAAGCCAGACGCAAAAATAGAAGAAAAACTCAAGAAAAGAAGCCCATGGATGAGGTATAAAAAGGACAGGACTTGGCTAAATGAACAGGGCCATGAATGGGAGCTCGGAGGTTCGAATAGGGATTGAATAACATTACGGTATGACGTTGGAATAGGGATTGTATAAGAGCATGAAATAGGGAATGGGAGGGAAAGGAGTCTGACAGAGGGATTGTATAAGAGCTTGAAATGGGGAGCAAATAAATGGTTGGATGTGGGAATGGAAGGGTGTATGGAAAGAGCTGTAGCTGTGTCAGAGCTTTCCTCTGTTCCTCTCTCTGTTTTTTTTTTTTGAATCATTGTCAAATGTTGCGTAAAGATAACGCCGGGTTCCCCTTTTGTGTCATCCTCTCTTTACATTTATTTTTCATAAACAAATTGAAGAACAATAAAAGGTCTTTGTACATTAAAGACTCGGTTGTAAATAATTGAAATTAATATAGCAAATATGATGGAAGAATGAGACCCACACATTGTATTGTAACCGCTGGTTCCCATGTTCCAAGGACACTATAGATAGAATGGAGCTTTATTGTTATAGAAAATTATTGTGTACATAAAATGTAATGTGAAAATGTTCTGTATGGGTTCTAATAATGGTTGGGAATCCATTAACCATTTAGTAACGCAATTTAGGGATCAATTTAGAAGCAGAAATCTTTCGATTCTTAAAACTGTAATCATAAGACACATTCCACTTCCCCTTTAACTAATAAATTTCTTTCTGATATTTTCAGGTACGTGTCGTAATGCCGATGAATATAATCGTAAAGCACATGAATTATTACAATTGGTAAATATGCGAAAATACTTTTAACCCTCCCAAAAGCAGATGTAAACGAGTATCTGTGTGAACCAATTTTACCTCAAATGAAATATTCAATAATTTAGTTCGCTTGCCAAAAAAAAACATTGATGTTTACGTGTTACAACCTTCCCTGCCAGCCCGGTCCCATAATATTCAATCCGATTCGATGTGAATGCATTTGGGTGTATTACAAAAATAGCCAGAATAAATGCTGTTGGAAAACGATTTTCAATTTTGCTTCGGACTATATCTCAAGATTTTTGTTGGCACGCATTTGTGTGTTTCGCTGCCAAAAAAGGATTTAAAAATTTGGATGTTCTTCAAACAAATATATATTATATTTTGGCCTCTTGAATAGAGAAGGGAGATGGGTATTCAGTTTGTGTGTTTGTGGGGTAAAATCAGGGGTATTATAAGCATTGTTAGAGTTTTAAATTTATGGAACTTCTGACCACAACTCAGTCGAATCGGAAGATTAAGAAGGTTGGAATATTTCTGAATATTTTGCTCTCCGAGCTAATTGTTCTTAAACCTAAAATAATAATTTCATAAAGAGTATATTTCATTATAGAAAATCACACAACAGAAGCAAGTAAAGGTTTGCAATGAGTAACTATTCATCAATTTGTGGCACTACGTAATCCCACAATAGACTACAAATTGTTGTAGTATTCTATATTTCTAATCAGCGAAGTTCCGCCCCTCAATTGAAGGTCACTTAACAACCTTGACAAACTTTCCTGCAACACAACAGCAGAGTTGAACCTCCCAATATGTAGTTGCAGACCTTATCAATGCCTCGAATAAAACAAAAAGTGTTCTGCCATTAAACTGAGGAATTTGTTAGACAAAGAATTATGGGGTTGGTGGAAGTGTGTGGAAGTAATATATAAGCTGTGCATTGTCTGGAGTGTAATAACATTTTCCTAGCTATCATTTTTCCGATGGTATATATATATTTATATATTTATGTAGATCTTTCTGCGGCATTTACCTACGGCATTTAGCTGTTAGCTGTTCCGTTACTCACATGTTCATGGGCCTACCTTATCGCCTTATCAGAAGGGGGAAAAAAACGCTCTTATCTAATCGCCGCAGTGGAAAACGCATTTATTAATCAAATATACGCTCGTACATGGCATGTGGCATATGGCATATAGAGAATACAGTGCGTTTCATTGCGTTAAGACTGCATTTAGGTTATTTTTAATAGTTTATTATTAGAGAAAACCTAAGCTAAGTTATTTATTATTTTAGGAGCATGTCCATGGTTCTCCTTTTTCCTTACTTTTCGTTAAATTTGCAACCTGAGACACACTTAAAATATAAAATTTAGCAAGTAATACTTGACCTTTCCTTCATGCGCTTTAATTTACTTTTTGTAACCACTTTTCTGGCTACCATATGGTCTAGAAATTTCTGATTAATCATAGACCAGTAACCCCCCCCTTAACTTCCCACTTTGCCAGTGAATTTCCATGTGCGCGTTTCGTAGTGTTTTTGTTTTTTTTTATCAAAGTGTAGGCCTTCTTTTGTGTTGTGTATCTCATGCGAGTGTGTTGCTGTTATTGTTATTGTCTAATTGCTGCAGAGTTTCAGAGTTATCTCTCTAGGAACGGACGTGGTTGGGTTTGTGTACAAGGTCTGTGGATGGTACGATTGCCAGGGATACAGGGGTACCATAAATCCCGAGCAGTACAGAAACCCAAATGTTATGTGTGCCATTCTGATAATGGTAACCAAAAACGAAAACGAAAACAAAAACAAAAACAAAAATTATAACCTGATAAAAAAATAAGAGATTGGAATTGGAGGTGGGAAATTATGACTAAACGTCTGGTTCTACCCCGCCACCACCCCCAACCTCCCTTGCTGTGTCACTCTTTTGTTTGTTTTTGGAATATTTTGTGGGTTCTTGAAAAGGTTGCTGCGTGGATGTTGATGAGTGGGCTGCAATCGTTTGGCAGGGGGGGGGGGGGGGTAGCTTATCATTATCTTATCAGTGAATTCGAAAAAGTGCTCTACATGGAACTACTTTTGCTATTATCATAGCTCACCCACTCACCCAACCATTACGGTGCAACATGTGCACATTTCACTGGATTATTCGTTCCATAGTGATAGATAGAAGGCTAGATGGACGTACACCCCTCTTTAAAGAGCTGCCAGCAGGCCAACATATTTTTTAGATATAATTACAGAAAGGAAACTGCAGTCCATGAATCCATGAAAATATCATAAGAGATGGTAATAAGCAGATAAATATTCAACAAAGATTTCCAAACAAGGAACACAAATCGTAGGAAAATGTTTATCAAAATCTGGATACAGAGATTCGATTTCTAAATAGAATAAAAAGAAGGAATTCACAAAGGAATTTCCATTCATTGAATGTTGTTTCAATAATGTTCTTTACTGTAAACAATCAAAACAAAAAGCAGCGTTCCTTAAAACATTTAAATATGAATATATCTTTTATTCGTGCCCGACCCTCCAGCAACATTCTTTACCCCCCATCCGCTTCAATTTGCAAGTTTATTCCGCCCCTAAAATGACTCTTTAATCCCCTCTCTCAATATTCCTCTTTATATTCCCTTCAATATGCTCTGTTTATACCCCTTCCTAATACATTTATATATATGAAACACCCAAAAAAAATCTATACACAGCAGTAAAACCGAGCCCATTGACGTCAACGAGAAATCGCAAAAGTATCTCGGAGCAAAACAAAGCAACAGCAACAAAAAGTAGAATATAATTCATTGTATCATATGGAAATTAACGCATACCAAATATCATGAATGCCATGATAAGGAATCCATATGAGAGTCCCCTCCCCAGGACCTGTTAATGCCCATGGACCCAGCACTTTCCGTAGAACCTTTACGGCTGATGCCCTGTGCATGCTCCTCTACCTCTGATTCCCTCTGTATAGACCCACCACAATGAATCGGTAAAAACATGGAACAGCAGTACGAATCGCACGCCCCTTGGACGCCTCCTGAGCTCTGGCAACCATTTGGGTTAATGAGCATTTGAATAATTGAATCGTTTGGATATTTGATGTATCGGAAATGTATAAACGTTTTGCCAGGCGGCTGTATTAAGAGTTTAGCAACCAACATCTAGCAGCGTTCTATCAACCAAATAGCCCAACGTCTAGCGTTTCATTAGCCAATGTTCGAACGTGAAATGGAGAGGATTTTATCGGATGGGTTCTAGATACACCTTCTACTAGTTATTGCATTGTTGAGCCTTGGAAACTGGAGTTTTGGCATGAGGAGTCTTTTCTCTCTTTCCGATGCCCTTTCATATAATTCGATGTTTCAATAGATCCGTAATTGAAACAAGCAAATCTCTTAATAAAAAGTAGCTGTAGCAATCTCCCTCCGTAACAAAACTGAAGCGAAAGCAAAACTAAAACCCGGAGATACACTCATAACCATTCCCCTTTAGCCATACTTTTTCCTCTCTTTCTTTGGGAGATTGTCTGAAATAATCGTTGGAGCTTTTTTAAGGGGATTTTTTCCCCAATTTGTCTGTCTGCTTTTTTGTTTTGTTTGTCCATTCTATTTGTGGTTTTTATTTATTTTTTCCTTTTCTGTGTGTTCTTTTTCGGTTTCTTAGAGCGGATCTTTCGGCATCTCTGATTCTTGGAGCAACTTTTGGGCTACTTGAGTTTCTCCATTCTCGCTGTGGTGGTATCTGCTCGTACCTAGCACCCTATATTATAAATGTAAATAATCGATTGGAAAGACCTGCCGAATATCCGTTGTTGGCCTGCCATTAACTTGTAATTAATCATAATTTGTTGCTTGATCTCTTAATGCTGAAATATGTTGATTATTTGCTTGATTAGTTAATGGAACCTTTTTAATAAGATATTATTATGAGAATATTTATAATTAGTACCAATTTATGCAGCAGTTGACAATTATTGGGTGGTTTTTTTTGCATATTCTTTGGGAGTAAATTGCTCCGATATTGGATAACTTTTGCTACAGAAAGTTGCTCTGGATAATGTGTTACAAATGTTAGTTCTCATCTCTACTAAACAATTTCAGTCTCACTCAACCATGACAACATTTGTTGCTAAGTTTATAAGAAAATATTCTCTTTATTCGGAAGAGCCACCAACTCAAAGCAATTACTGTCCAGAAGAACACATTACTATTTGCAGATAGAATTTCCAAGTACCGCTTTTCCTTTCCTTTCTTGGAACTTCGGACGCTGGACTGCCTTTTGCCTTGGAGTATTCGAGTGTAAGAATGGATATGTACATACTGCTCATAAAAGGCGCAATCAGCATAACAAACAAGCCTTATACAAAATCATAATGGCCATAAATATAATATACATTTTATATAATGTACATAAATATGTACATATGTACATATATCCAATGTCTGGGGAATATGGACAAACACATGACAAAGCAAATGCTGAAAAGGCTTTTGGGTTTGGTTCACTCTTTTGGGTTCCAGTTCGAGTTTGAGTTCTTTTGGTTATGCCAAACCATACAAAGGCCACTCCATTTATACTATATGCATACTATATATGTACTTATGTATGTGTGTGTACATAAGAGGAGCCCCAACAAAAGACCAAGGCAACCAGCTCACAAAACAGCGGAAAGAATGACAGCAGAGGAAATCTCCATATAAACAGAAACAGAAAGAGAACAAGAACCCCCCATCCCCCTCACACACTGCCTCACACACACACACCATCTACCTACACTCTACTACAAAATGTACCTGTTGTGCGTTAAGGCACAAGAAAAGACAGACAGACAGAGGCAGAGACTGAGAAATATAAGCATAAAGAAACCCACAAACAACAGCAGCACAGACGTCGCGACGTTCAAAATGTTATTGAAGTCTTACCTTTGGGTCTCTCGCATAACCGGTTGGCGGCATGGCATCGGCACGACCACGACCACGGCTTCAACCCAGCGTACGTACTGCCTGTTCACGTTCTCGTACGTAGGTGCTGCCAACTCTCCTTAACAATAAAGAAAGACAGAAAACACATGCACATAATACGAAATACTAGCACGAGTACGGTGCTAAGTCGCTGTGTAAAAGAGAAACACGTAGTGTAGTCCATTGGTAAACCAATATGGAAATATAAAAAACGATTTATTATGAGCAAACATTTCATTATTGAGCAATATAGAATTCTTAAGGAAAGATAATCTTCAAAGAAGCTCAAGAAATGAAAAGAGTTTCTCCAATGAGCTATAATCAAGAATCTGACTGAAAGATCATAGCTCCAGGGATCAGAATTATAAAGATCCTTGTCCTGAATATGTGGATATCCTTGTAGAAGTTCCTACAGGAAAGATATTCAATTTTCATATTCTGATGATATAAAATCGTTTTCAATTCTGTAAGGAATTTATGTTGCCTTCTTTTCCTA